TGGCGAGCAACGTTCTTCAGGTCATAGGAAGGTCAGAATAAATTCAACGAGTGAAACAAAACAATATTAATTTACCAGAAAAAGCTTAATAGGTGATAATAGTTTACAAAATGTCTTGAGAGAGAAAAAACGTTTATGTCCAAATGATGAGGCATCTTGCAGGAAATAGGAATCAAACGCTGCTTTTCAAGATGTAAAAGAAAAAGAAAAAACAAAAGAAAAAGACTGACATTCAAAACTTGAAAGGAGTCAGTGTTCTTTCATGAATGCATCCGGGAAAAAAGCTTTAAAGGTTTCCACTCTCAGGCAGAGACAAATAATTCCTTGTCAAATCTCTGGGCCTCTTAATAACAGCCGTAAGGTTCCTCCTCTCTCCACAGGCACCTTCTCTGTTTCCTCTCTAGAAGTAGCTCATTAGCCACTAATGATAGTCGTGGAAAATGGCGACGACGGAAGATCCAGCTGGGGCATCAGCCGTCGTTCAACAGTAGCAGCCCAGAGGTCTAGATCAGTGAGGCCGGCGAGGCCGTCACATTTCTCCAGTCTGAGTAACACAGCCCTTTATAATAGTAGCACAGGACCAGCGATGGCTGACTCCCTCCTTGTCTCTGAGAGATTCTCTGAACAGTTCACCCTTGATGAGTCCTACAGTTGACCCTTGTGTCCCGGTGAGTGTGTCCGGCCAACAGGAGGTCACCACCTGTGAGAGAGAAGAGAGTGAGAAAGAGAAAGTTAATTATTAACAACACGTTAATGTGAACACTTGCATGGTTAAATGTCACTTCCAAAACATTAGCTAAATCTTTAGCTAAACTTTCAGACATTTGTTTTTCATTTTACTCGCATAAACATTGTTTTTTTTCTTCACGTTAGCTAGCCTGTTAGCAGATAAAAAAAGAGGACATTTATTTTGATAAGTTGATGAATAATGTGTCACTCTTCCCACAGTAAACTTTTGATAAGTTGATGAATTGACAAATAATGTGTCACTCTTCCCACAGTAAAAGGTTGTTTAAAAACTTATAACCTGAGTGTTTTCTTTCAGACTTCAGCTTAGGACTTGTTTGTTTAAAGACGGTAAAAAACGGGGTAGAGAACAAGCTTAAAGTTTTATATTACTCAAGACTTTATGAATCTGGGATGAAGGATTTTAAGAATCACGAGAAGAGAAAAAAACATTCAGATGAAAGAACAAATACAGAGTCATGGTGAGAATATACGATCTGGTCGGTGCTGGGGTTTAGGGATTTAAAAGCGTTAAAAGTGAATAAGAGCAACAAGGGACGGGGGAGGAAGAGGGAGGATAGGAAGGAGAATCATGGAGCCGGTTTGATTGGTGGGCTGGTGATCCAGGCAGAGCAGCTGGAAAGGTGGTAGGGGGAGTTAGTGGCACCTGGAAAAACAACTATTAAGACTTGTTTTATGGAGACAACAGGCGGTCACTTCATCTGCTTGACTAGCGTTCTCCCTCCTTTCACCCACACACACAGACAGACAGTCAGACACAAACTCACAATCACACACTCACACACAAGCACAGCCAACAGCTGGACCCTGCTGAATCAGTCTCTTCTGAATCAGACTCTTGAGCAGGAAATTAGACTTCCTGGAAGGCTGCACTTGTAATCTTAAGAGAGGGTTTGGAACCGATTATTAGAGGATGGCAGCAAAGCAGAGAGAAAACACAATGAGACACACACAGACAGGGACACAACTGTGTCCCCACACTACTGCCCCCTTTCTGCACACACACTTTAAATCAGTGTGTTTATCTTGATCAGTGACAGCTTCAGCTCCGGCTCACCACGTTCACACACACGTTCACACACACCAACAACACATGTTCTAATTTTGTGGCTGACGTCACGTTGTCTTTTACTTTGTCCTCTGGACATGTTTTATGGTCAAGCCAGTTACTTTTACTTTCACTTTCAACAGCCTGACGTGTCTCAAAGTTACTTGATGTACTCAAAACAACATTTATACTTAGAGGAGTAACAGACAAACATGAGCAGTTTGAACTAATACAGATAATAAATAATAATAATACATTTTTCTAAAGCTGTAAGTGCCAGGACTAAACCAGAGGACAGACGTGGAGGTAGAGTGGCTTGAGTAGAAGTAAGAACAGTAAGTAATTTGTAACAACCTTTCGCTCTTTCCATCCTCCCACCTTCCCTTGGTTGTTTTCTTGCTTTACTTCCCACTTCCTCTCTCCTGCTCTCTGTTCTTAACCCGGTCTAAAAGTCGTTCCTTCAGCCTGACATTCACCAGGAAGCACTTAATCACTGGAGGCCACTTCTGTCACACACTTCAATTCAACCACTGAAAGTATGCTGTGCATGAGCAACTGTGCACCCGAAAAGCTTGTGTAGTCTAATACATGCATTTGCGCATGTGTGTGTGCATGTGTGCGTGTTTGTGCACAAAGAGGCCACCGGGGGGCCTCCCAAGGGAAATGAGTCTTGGTGGTAAATAGGGCCCAAATATAATAACCCTAAACACATCCCCTCAGACTGGAGACAGGTCTATACTAGTCTGCTCACTGTAAACACACACACACACACACACACACACACATACATTCACTTGATATAGTGCTGTAGCTGAGATCACACAGTGGGAACAGAAAGCCTTGTTATGCCATACACATACTAAACAGAGCAGGGAGAGGGATGCGTGTCTCTGTGGGCATCAACTACTACAACCCACAATGAGGAACAACAGTAGTTACAAAAGAGGGATTACTGGGTTTTAAAGAACGTCTCTGTCCCCTGAGAGTAACAGAAAACTCACATTCAAAGACACACAAACTCCCAAAAACACAGACAGAAGGGAAAACACACCCAAAGGTATCACCAAACAGAAAGGCTGAATATTCGGCCATTTTTATCCATGCATATCACAAAGATCTAAGAATGACTTGGGCTGCTACCATTTATTACTGATCACATCAGTGGATCATCTGCATATCTGATTATAAATCTTAGCACAGATTTCCATTAGACACCTTTGACTGATGTTATAACTTCAAATAGTTATAGAAACTTTTATAGAAACCTTTCTATAACATCAAGCCTTGACCAATGTTACGTTTTATTTTACGTAACCCTCAAAATTGAATGATTCTTAAATCTCTGAGTCTTCGTATTGAGATTTAAACCTGTCTGTTTTTAACCCTTAAATGTGCAAAGATGTAGCTTTTAAAACAGACTCCTGGAGCTAAGTCAGGATGTTCGAAAAAAGTTCGAATCCCACTTCTGACAACAGTTTTTCAGTGATTCTCAGTGGCAACAGGTGTGTGGGGCAGATCTGCTGTGAAAACAAGAATATCTGAAGAAGTGTGGGATCAATAAGGTCCAAATTATGATTATTAGGACTTTAGTCTGACCCTCATATCTGTGCTTACAAATGGGAATAGTGTTTGAGTATTTTCAGTCTTGCCCAGGAACACACTGACACCCCCTGGTTTAGAAACAGCAGCCCCTCAGAGTTGTTTCCTGTATGTTTCTGTAAATTCTCTCCAAACCTAAACCAACTCTCATTTCTGACCTACTTCTATGCTTTTCTTTTAATTTTCCAATTAATTATTTACGTGCACCCACACAGACAGGCACTGAAGTTACATATTTAGTCTTAGAAACAGAGAATAAAGTCAAATAACATCTATCAGAATTTGTTCTCCAGCTCTGCACTAGTCAGAGCAGTCCTGCTTGTAGTCAGACGGCACTGAAGACATATGGACAGACACTCAGGCAGACAGATGTGTCCTTGTCAAGACTGGGCCGCACTTCAATTATAATCACTCTGTGTGTCAGCTGCAGCTGCACTGAATGTCAGACTGAGGAGTAAGGAAGAGAGATGGCCGATTGGCAGGCAGACCGTCCAAAACAGGAAGAGGAGTAACAACTCCTCAGGAGCGGATGTAAAAAAAAAAACCAAAAAAAACCCTGCAATAGGATCAAGGACGCATGAGGGAATTTGAAAAGAGTATTAAAACAGACACTCTCATGAACCCGGCTTTTTATCCAGCAAAGCCTGTCAGTTTTTATCCGGTGTTCGGATATCTGTTCTAAGTTGGGGTCAAAAGTTCATTTTTGAGTCTAAAAACATCGTGCCTTTGGCCTGAAGTAGTGACTGTGGATTCCAGCACAGCTCATCGGTTTCACTATCAGTAAAAGAGGGAAACATCAGGTCGCTGTGTGCTGCTAGAAAAAAAAAAAAGATAGAATGACAGATGTGCAAGTTTGAAGAGTACAGCCAGGATGTTATATGACTGTGATGTTGATTGTTGGCTAGTAATGCCTCTGTGCCTGTACCAGAGGTCTCCACTCAGACAGCCAACCAGTCACACTCACATTTACACCCACAGGAAATTCAAAGTGAACAATAAACAATAAACCCAGTCCCTGATCTGCAGGTTTTTGGACAACTTCAAATCAGTCCCTCTGTCTCTTCTGGTTCTACTGTCGCTAGCCATAAAACAGGGCTGGAAAAAAAGTAGTTTAAACTGCAATAAATTAAATACAGCAGGTCGGTGGTTGACGCCAACAGATGCACAAGGTCATTTGTCAGCCATGAGAATGAGGAGCACTGGAGTTTTTAAAGGCTTGGCAGGTCCTACTCAGACAAAAAGCTATGAGGTGTTCTGCAGACCAGACCCTGGTCCTTGAGCCAAAACACATGGAGTGTGGCAGGGGGGAGCGACAGGGGGGTAAATTGTAAAAAAAAGTAATTAACCATCATGCGTATTTTAATAATGCAACCCTGATGATCCTGAATCTCCGGCAGAGAATTAGTGGGAAACGTACTCTTGTTTCTTCTGCCAAACTCATTGTCTGCCTGAGAGCCAGGCTGCCGAAAACACAAATCACTGCACTCTGGAGGCTCACAGAGTTGAACATGACGAAAGCACATCTGCTTGGCAGAACAAACCCACCCCACAGTGGCACCACCTCTTCATAGGTCACTGAGGTTCAAAAAGAAGACGTAGACGCTTGCATGCAGGTCACGGAGTACAGTAAAGGCATCGTTTTAACAAATTACCCAGAAGGAGTTTTTACCATGGAGAAAGAGGAGACTACCGTATTTTCACGACCATAAGGCGCATATAAACGACTTAGATTTTTTTCAAAATGTGCGGTGCGCCCTATAGTGCAGTGCGCCCTATGTGTGTGTTGTAAGGCGAACGTGATAGAGACCACCTTGAGGAGGACGTGGTAGAGAACATGAGAACGTTAAAGAGGGGATGTGTGGGCGTGGATTGTGTATAAAAGAACAGGTATGTGCTTTATGCAGAACATTGCTGTTTTAACAACCCTGAAAATGGCAAAGAGACAGGCTTATGAAGCTCGCTTTAAACTGCAGGCTATCAGCTACGCCGAGGAACATGGGAATCGAGCGAGAGAATATAAAATAAACGAGTCGATGGTTCGCAAGTGGAGGAAGCTGGAGAACGAGCTCCGACAGGTGAAGAAGACTCAGCTGAGTTTCCGCGGACATAAGGCGAGGTGGCCGGAGTTGGAGGAAAGACTCGAGCTATGGATCGTCGAGCAAAGAGCGAGCGGGAGGAGCGTTTCGACTGTCACCATCCGACTCAAAGCAGTAACGCTAGCAGAGGAAATGAAAATTGAACATTTCCAAGGAGGTCCGTCTTGGTGCTGGCGTTTTATGAAACGGTGCCATTTTTCCATCCGGACC